GGGGATCCCAACTACCACGAAGTGGCGCCTACTCATCTCCACGTTCCCCTCATTGACAAAGGGGCGGGCGCAGATCCCCGCAGCCGAGAACATGGGGGGCTTTTCTCACAGGGGATGGATGACATGATCGAGCTGGATCCTGAGAGTCCAACGCATTTTGTGAAGGACGGACAGAAGTTGACGCAGAATGATCGGGTGATGGTTTCGACACCGCAGTGGAAGTTGCTACAATGGAACATGACAGCTACAGTACCCGTGGATCCTGAGAAATTGGGCGATGAAGTGATTTCGGGCCATGCACCGGTGCAAGTGGTATTCTATCCCAGACGCCGTCGGCCTCCTGAAGATCAGGTGGTGCCTCGCTTTGTCTGTGAGATGGCGGAGTGCGCGGAGGCGTTGGACACGCTGATCAGCCACTCGGACATCGATCGGCTGGCGCCGATACCGCGCTGGAGGGAGTTGAAAAGGCTGATGCGCGAGGCCGCTCGTGTTGCTAGGGATCGTCTCACTAGAGCTGGCACCCCGCCTCTGGAGGCTCGCCTGATGATCTTCCGATCGGTTGCCAGAGCGGTCCACTTTGATGATCTAGACCTTGCCAACGAGCTCCTGTCTAAAGCGACTCCTGCGAGGGGCCTCTTGAGGCTTGAGGAGGGCGCTGACGCAGTGGTCTCGTTGATTGACCCAATGCAATTTCGTAGGCAGTATGAACAGTTGCAGCAAGAAGTGCTTGCTAGCCGTCTCGCCAGGGCCAAGGAAGAGGTCCAAGCAGAGTCGACGCCTTTTCTTGAGCGCAAGCGACTGCGCGCGCGCGTGAAGGCTGAGCGGCGACGGGGGGAGCTCTGGGCTCCGAAAGGAAAGACTCTCCCCCTCCAGGGCCTTGTGGGCCCCTCGGGCGAGACCCTCTCCCCCCCCTCTCCTCGTGAAAGAGGCGCTCAGACTGCATTGGGCCCCCGACTTTGCGCCGAAGTCAGCCCCATTTAAGCGCTTAGATGCGCGCCTGTCTAAGCATGTCAAGCAGTTTGATTGGTCGGACCTGAAGCCGCCGACAGAGGAGCAGCTTCGCAATGCTCCCATTCATGCCTCTCCCACGGCTCCAGGCCCTGATGGGCTTCCGTACTCGGCGTGGACGGGTGCGAAGCTAGTCGTGCCCGCGTTCCACGGGCTGCTCCTGGAACTCTTCTCGGGCCCCCCCCTCCTGAATTAGACGGTATGCTGCTGGTTTTTGCTCCCAAGGGTTGGGCGGCGGAAGATGCGAGCCTCGTCGTTCGCGAGCCTGCCGCCACCAGACCTCTTGCCCTCAAAAGCACTGATGTCGAGATTTTGTATGCAGCATGCAACCAGTGTCTCAAGCCGACCTCGAAGGAGTTGCATAGCGACCATCGTGGATTTGTGGCAGGAGGGAACTTTCTTGACAACATCACGCTACTGGAGTCCACAGCTAGGATTGTCCGCATGCTCCCCTCGGCGGCTGCGAACCTTCTTCTCCTCCTCCTCCTCCTCGACTTCGGCAATGCCTTTCCCTTTCTTATACACATGTTTCTCTGGGGAGTCCTAGAGCGGGTAGGTCTGCCTGAAGGTTTTCGTCTCTTCCTGCATGCTACCTATGCTTTTGCTACGGCTCGTGTAGCGCTCCAGGGGTTGTTGCTTCCGTTCTGCCTGATCGGCTCAGGAGTAATGCAGGGTGACCCGTCCAGTGGCAGTTTGTGGGCTCTAGCGATGGACTCACTAATTCGGGGCATGAGAAGTAGGCTTCGCAAACATCCTGGATCGGAGGTGGGTGCGCGCGCGGATGACGCGGGGGTGGCGGTAAGAGAGCTTGCGGCGCTGTCGCGCTTGTCTGGCGCATTCTATGCTGCGCGTCTTCTGGCGGGCCTGTGGCTTAAAGATCCGAAGTGCCAGATAGTCCTAGTCTCTGCCCCTTTCTCCTCCCAACTCGTTGAGCAGGTCCAGAGACGGTTGAACCAACTTGTTCCGAAGCGGGCAGCAGTGCCAAATGTCTCAGCGGCGGAATATCTTGGGGTGCGGATCGGCCCAGCAGCGTCGAGAGAGGATATGTGGCGTCGTGCGTTCCGACAGCGGGTTGGGGTCGTTAAAGAGCTTGCTGCGACTAAGGCCGCCCCTCGATAGCCGTCACTTTGTGCAACTCAAGGGCAGTATCGAAGTCCAGCTGCCTGTCCCAGCTCTCCCGCATGCTCCTGCCCGTGTGGGGATGGGAGTCGTGGGCTCTCCACAAGATCCTCCACCTCCCTGCCTTCTTTCCCCCTCTTCACAGTTGCTGGCCCTGCGACAATGGTCGAAGATTCGGCCGCAGTCAATGCTCGTGCAGTCGCTCTCGGCTCTCCTGCGCACTTCCAGGCAGACGATCACGAATTGGCGTGCTCTGCGGAGGGCCCAGCAGCAGGCGGCTCAGGAGCTTGTGCCAATGAAGATGTGGATCCAGGACAAATGGGAGCCAGCACGCTGGATCGAGCCCTCGTATGTCCAGGAGCTTGCTGCCGCTGCTGATGGCTTTTCCTCATCCCGTCGTCTCGCCCGCCCTGTTGCTCTTGCTTTGGATGCTCTCAGCGAGGCGCAGAGGCTTCAGGCGGAGGCTGGGGGTCCTGTGGTCCCTGTTCAGAGGGCGATCTCGAGGCGCCTGGAGATTGAGCTTTTCCACGAAAATTTAGGAGACACCATTTTTAAGCGCATGGAGAAATGGACTGCAGCGCCTCTCTCTAGCCAGGCCAAGGCAGCGTGCAGCTGGAAGATGCTCAAAGAGTGTCTCAGTGCACTTCCGCCCTCTTGGTAGGCCTCGGCTAGTAAGGCGGCGGTGGGTGGGTGGGCGACTGAGCGGAGGGTTCGGCAAGTCAACATCCCCTGTGAATTCGGTTGCCCCAGTGAGTGCGACACGCAGAAACATTATTTGTCTTGTCCGTTGCTGTGGGGTGCCGTGCAATCCGTCTGGGTACCGTCGACTCCGGTTGAGGTCCTTCTTGATCGCAGACCGGGGATCGCCGAAGACATGAGTGGGGAGCAACGTCTGCTCGCTGTGCAACGCCTGATTTTGAGTTTCTTCTTATATCACTCGACTCGGAGTCAGGCCAATGTTGACCCAACGTTGATAGCACAGCATGCCCGTGCTGCCAGAGCGCAGCTGATACAGCAACTGGACGACCGAGCGAGCTAAGCGACTACGAACTCATTCCGAGCTACGTGCGAGGAGGAGGAGGAAGAGGAGGCGGAGGCGGAGTAGGGCGAGTACGAGGAGGAAGAGAAGGAGCAGAAGGAGGAAAAGGAGGGAGAGTTGGGTACTTCGGGGATCCTCTTGAGGCCTCGTACGAAGTCTCTTGGAGGCCTCTTGGGCGCCTTTTGGGGTTGTCTGGGCGCCTCTTGGGGCTCTCCTGGGGCGCTCTTGGGAGCTTTACGGGCGCTCCAGTGAGTCTCCCCCCTCGGAAGTACCAGAAATCGCCACCTGGATCCCTCTTGGAGCGCCCTTGGGGCGCTCTTGGGCGCTCTGGGGGCCGTCTTGGGGCTCTCTTGGACCTCCCCTGGGGCTCTCTTGGGCCATCTTGGAGCCATCCTGAGGCCTCGGATGGCCATTGGAAGCGAAAAGGCGAGGAAGCGAACATCATCGTTTCCCCTTATAGGTTTTTGAAAGATTTTTGGAGGTCACGGGCGCCTCTTGGAGCCGTCTTGGAACGCTCTTGGGCCTCTTGGAGCATCTTGGGAACCATCTTGAGGCGTCGTGCGCTATCTTGAGCCATCCTGGAGCTCATCTTGGACTCTGGGGCCCTCTTGGAGCCGTCCTGGGCCATCTTGGACGCTCCAACGCTTCGCGCACCCCCCCCGTCCAGGTCCAGGGGAGGGGGTCGGGGGAGGGATCCCGACACCCCCTTAGATAGCAAACCGTCTAGCTCAGCCGCGCCAGCTGTGAAACGTTCGGGGCACGTGCAGAGTGTGTCAGGTGCGCCTGCGCACGTCAAGGCACACGTCGGGAAACATGCCGCCCCCCACCATCCTTGTCGAAAACCACCGCCCATCATTGTGTCTGGCGGGCCTGCGCACAGCAGGCCATACGCCACCACCCCCGCCGTCTCTGTCAAAAACCACTTGACAGTGATCGCGGGGTGGCCGTACATGATCCAGATTTCGCCGCGGGGTACACGTTGTATTCTTTGTTGGTCAAGGATGGTAGCCCTGCGCGCCGCAGGCAGGATGCTGACACCCTCGCCGTCCCTGCAAAAAAAAAACAGCACAGAGTGCGCGCGGGCCCCACGAGCATGACTCAAGACTTTGCCCCACAGTGCGTTTTGCATTTTTTGTTGACAGGGATGGTGGGGGGGCCGCATCGGGTTGGCCACGCATGCTCCACAAGTGGCGACAGAGTGCATTCTGTTTTTTCTTGACAGGGATGGTGTGGGGGGGATGAGCATGCATGATTCCTGGTTTGCTGCGGGTCGCCTGGGGGAGGGGGTGTACATGAATGAGGAACAGTGATGAGCCCCTCCCTGCAGGGGAAGAGGGGGTTGGAAGCGGAGCTTCCTGGGACCACCTGCGCCCAGAGGACTGGTGGGATTAGATTCGTTGTCGACGCGGGGGACGTGCTCCCTTCTGGCCCAAGGTCAGGGGCAGCGTTTGAGCGGGCCGCCCCCGGGAACCTGCTCGCCCCGGCACCGTCTACAGCCAGGGAGCCGGCGCAGGCCACCATGGCCTCCTCGATGCCCAGCGGCTCCCGCGGCTGCTCCGCCGCGGCCGCCTCAGCCGTGTGGCAGTGGCCGGAGTGGGCCATCGAGTGCAAGGCGACGTTCCTCCACGTGGTGACCGAGGTCGAGGCGCGCTGGCGGCGGGAGCGGCTGCCGCGCTCCAGGTCCGCCCCCGTGGTCCTGCGGGGCGGCGGCCTGGGGCCTGCGCAGGCGCAGGCGCAGCGCTCCCGGACGCAGCGCAGGAGGCAGCAGAGGGTGGCGGGGAAGAAACGGAGGCGCGGGGAGGCCGTGGCAGCCGCCGCCGGGCGGCCGCCCTGAGCTTCCAGGAGCGACGGAAGGACGTGCACGTGCATTCAAAGCGGATGGGGGAGGAGGCATACTCATGTTTTCTCGTTGGGCGCGTACGTCCTTTGTGGGCTCCCTAGCTCACGAGGTGCATGCGGGCCAGTCCGCCTGTGCGCGCGGGCTTTTTGCCGCTGTATGTTGACCTTGGATGCCGGACACAGGCGCTGCAAGGTTGACGGTGAGTTTCAACATGCGCTGTCGATCTGGCCCGATGGTGCGGTCGCCGGTACATGCTCGCCAGTGCATGTGGGCCTCTTCGCCGGTGGATGCGACCCGCTTGTTGTTGAGAGACGACCCGCGGCGTGAGGTTCATGTTCTGTGCCTTCCCCGATGTCCCCCGCTTCCTCTCGAAATTACTCGCTGCGGCTTTCTCCACTTCTTCCTCCCGCTGTTAGCGTGGAGCGCGGAGGAGGCTTGCGCATCAGGATCGGACGGCTCTGGGCGGCACGAGTCCACGTGCAGCTTTCGTTCGGCAAGCGAGTTGGTACAAACCTTCAAGGTGCCAGACTCGTCTTTAATGTCTTCTGCTGTGTCCCTGTCTCCCGCCTCTTCAGGTACTCTAGGCTGCCGCGTCGCCCGCTGCCCTTTTATCCGTAAGGGCTTGGCCCCCTGCCGCCGGCCCCCTGTCTCGGATAATGGGCTACGCAAGAGCTAAATCATGAGGCCTCGGCGCCGCCGTGAAGCAGCATTAGCAAGAGAAATTGATATTATGATGATATTGTTGAACTCAGTGTTGCATTTTGAACCTGCCCCCGTATGCTGTGCACAGGTTTCCCACATAACTTCGGACATGTAGCAAATTCCATATGTTTTTCGACCCTGATTCCACCGATGTGCGTGAGGGGTGCTGCCGAATTTCAAAAATGTAGCAAATCCCATTGGTTTTCCGACCCTGACCCCGCCGATCTGTGTGAGGGGTGCCGCCGAATTTCAGACATGTGGTAAATCCTATGGGTTTTTCGACCCTGATTCCGCCGATCTGCGTGAGGGATGCCGCCGAATTTCAGAAATGTGGCAAATCCCATTGGTTTTTCGACCCTGACCCCGCCGATTTGCGCGAGGTGTGCCGCAGAATTTAAAACATGTAGCAAATCCCATAGGTTTTTCGACCCTGACCCCGCCGATCTGCACGAGGGGCGCCGCCGAATTTTAGAAATGTGGCAAATGCCATAGGTCTTTCGACCCTGACTCCGCCGATCTGCGTGAGGGGTGCCGCCGAATTTCAGAAGTGTGGCAAATCCTATGGGTTGTTCGACTCTGACTCCGCCGATCTGCGTGAGGGATGTCAATTTCGACCCCCCGGAAATTCTGAGACCCCTCCCAGGAGACGCTAACCAGGCTGATTTTCAGCTCCCCCCCTCGCGCGTTCTACAACAAGGAACAGTAATCAAGCAGCATTAAGCAATACTGTAACAGTGGAAACTGGAAACTGGAACTGGTGCAGGGAACAGCAAACCCTCGTCCTACAGCCTGGTGGCCACACCAGGGGGCTGGCGGATATAGAGTAGACGCCTGCACTTTCAACAAGAATGATGAAGTGGAGGACGATGATGAGGAGAGGGGAAGAAGCGGTGTGGAGGACCCCCAGTTTCAAGACAGGCTCTCGTGTCACCTTCGCGGGCAGACGTTAACCCCGCGGCAACGTTTGAGTGCGTCGACCAGTGCATCGGCCATCTCCTGCAGCGTGGCCTTCGCCTGGGATGCGTGGTTCTCAACAGCGGCTCTCTTCTCGTGCTCTCTTCCCAACGCGCGCCGCGCACACGAAGTCATCACGGATACGATATGATGAGGATTGAGGCGGAGGTGGAGGGAGGAGTAGACGGCATTCATTGCAAGCGCTCGGTTGTTTCTTCTGCAGCTTGCTGTGGACCGACCACCTTCGTGTTGCGGCGTGAGATTCATGTTCTGTGCCTTTTCCCGATCTCCCCCGCCTCCTCTCGTTATTTCCTCGCTGCGGCTTCCTCCACTTCTTCCTCCCGCTGTTAGCGTGGAGCGTGGAGGAGGCTTGCGCATCAGGATCGGACGGCTCTGGGCGGCACGAGTCCACGTGCAGCTTTCGTTCGGCAAGCGAGTTGGTACAAACCTTCAAGGTGCCAGACTCGTCTTTGATATCTTATGATGTGTCCCTCTCTCTCTCTCTCTCTCCCCTCTTCAGGTACTGTAGGCTGCCGCGTCGCACGCTGCCCTTGTATATAGAGCAGACGCCTGCACTTTCAGCAAGAATGATGAAGGGGAGGACGATGATGAGGGGAGGGGAAGAAGCGGTGTGGAGGACCCCCAGCTTCAAGACAGGCTCTCGCGTCGCCTTCGCGGGCAGGCGTTTGCCCCGCGGCAGCGTTTGAGTGCGTCGACCAGTGCATCGGCCACCCCCTGCAGCGTGGCCTTCACCTGGGATGCGTGGCTCTCAACAGCGGCTCTCCTCTCGTGCTCTCTTCCCAGCGCGCGCTCCGCGCACCCTTCCTGTCTCGTCTGCTCGAGTGGGGCTTCGGCGTGCGGGCGTCACAGGTTCGGAGGATCAGCGTACTCTGATGTCGCCACCCGCCCCTCGTCGCCATGGCCGGATTCGCCTCGAAATCCTGTTCGGCACGCACCCTGGGAGAGTTCCGGGGGGGCAGCGGCATCGGCCCCTTTCTGTTCCCCCCACCGGCGGCCCGCGCACGCGCGGGCTGTCTGTGAGCTTCCTGCTCTTGGCCTCTCCTCTCTCTCTCTCTCTCTCTCCTCCTCTTCCTCCTCGTCCTCTCTGTCTTCTCGTCCTCCTCCTCTCTGTCTTCTCTTCCTCCTCCTCTGCCTCTCTGTCTTCTCTTCCTCTCCCGGCGCCCCGCGGCTCCGCTCACGGCCACATCTTCGTCGCGGGGATGTGTGGTTCTCATGTGGGTTGTTGTGCGAGTCACGTCGGGGAAAGGATGCCTTCCCCCACCATATCAGGGCGCTCCCAAATGGGCCGTGCCTTCGCGGATCGAGGGAGTTGCCATCTCTTCCGCGGCGGAAGGCGGCGGAAGGGCGGCGGGAAACGGCGGAAGTAGAACGAGGCCGCCTCCGCCGACGGAAGTTGGCGGAAGCAAGCGTCGACCTCCCAAGAGATGAAAACGTTTTTGGGTTCAGGGTTTCCGAAATCGGCCATATCATGGCATGGCATCACGTCCGATCCCACAGTGTCCCACCCCGATGCCGACCTCGGTCCTTTCCGGTGTCCTCCCGCGCCTGCTCCTCCCCATTGTCTTGGCCTTCCTTCCCTCTGCCTCCTCCTCGTTCCCCCCCACCCCCCTCCCCCTCCTCCTCGAAGAAGAAACGGCTCTCCGCACGAATTTCTCGGATCTGCGCTGGGCCTCCCTGGCGGCGCCTCCAGCGCCGCCCCTGGCGCGCTCCGCGCGCCAGGGGAGGGGTTCCAGCGCAGATCCTAGAAATCCGCGCGGAGCGTCGAAAGTTCATGTTTACGTGTTATGTGTTTTTCTTCCTCTCCTCCTTCTCCTCCTCCTCCTCCTCCTCCTCGTCATCCGATTCCATCTTCCATCTGATTCTCAGAGCGTGAAAAACCTATCCCGCTTTCGCTTCCAGGCAAAACCAAGCCGTACCACGCGCCTCCTCGTCAAGCGGCCTGACCAGTACAGGCTGCAATTTGGCATCGTTTGGTATCTCTTGGAAGCGAGGGTGGTCAAAAGCGAGGTAGGTTTGTTTTCCCCCTAGATTCGGACATGTGTCTTGGAGGGAGCGCGCTAGGACGCTCTCGACACATCACTCCTGGCACACTCTTTTGGAACCGATAGCACACAAACAAACAACGACAGCAGCATAACAGCAGCCAAGTCTTCAAAGGAAACCACTTCTAGCCTCAAATTCGGCGGACCAATGGAAGCACATTCCACGCGGCAGAATTGCTGTTGCGGGCGCGGTGGACGTGTCCCATTCGGCATGCAATGCGACAAGTTGACGCTTCGCGGGACCGATAGCAGTGGCTGCCCACCCCCATGGATCACAGCGGGCAAGGGGGCGGCACGTGCGGCCCCGCCAGACCAGTGGACCGGGGCATCCAGCTCAGGCTCGTCGTGGCGTGGATGGCAGTCCTGGGGCGCTTGGGGGCACCAAGGTGCGTCATGGACCGACACGGACTGGAATGCGAAGGGCAAGCGTTACTCCCCCCAGTGGAGATCACCCGTACGCTGACAAGCGTCCACGAGGTTGGGACTCCCGACCCAGATGACGGGGGCGCAACGAGGACCCGCGCGGGACTGACCCCCCCCCCCCCAGCGAGAGTAGGGCCGCACCGGTCACCGCCACGGCCCACCAACTTACGTGCTGCCTGCCGCGCGCAGCACACACTACCTCGTTCATACCTCTCTGCCCTGCATTCGCCGCAACCCCCCTCCCCAGTCGGTTTCACCCGCAGCGCCCGGCCTGAGCCGCAATACCCTGTGCACCTCCTATGGGGCGGAGGAGCACCAATACCCTTGCGCTGCGCTTTTAGACAGCCCACGCTGGACTCGTGGACCTTGCAGCACCCGGCCTCGGCCCAATGCGTGCCACCCTCGCGGGGGCGGGGGACACCAATGAGCTTCGCACATAGACAGCCCACGCTGGAGACGTGGACCTTGCCAGGCCCTTCTATCCCCGCGGCCGATTGCCGCGCAGGATTGCGGCCACTGCCTCCTGCGGTGGAGGCCGCTGCCAACATGGGCTCTGGGGTCGTCTGTGCACCCTCCCAGGGCAGCCCACTTTGGACGGCAGAGACTGGTGGCTGAAATAACCCACCTCCTGCGCCCCACCTCTTTCGCGCAGTGAACGGCAGCGGTCGGGGTGCGAAATTATTCGCCGCACTGCCCGCGCTCAGCCCCTTTCCCCCGTGGTTCCGAAGTTCTGTGCATGGGCGCTTGGGGCCGCCATCGGTGTTCAGCGGCTTGTGGCTGCGCCCCCTCCTCTACTTCTTTATGCCAATATGGGCTCTGGGGTCGTCTGTGCCACCCTCCCAGGGCAGCCCA